AAAAGCTATATAAAAAAATTTATCAACGTTGTTTATAATTTAAAAAAGAATGAAACAAATTTGCAATGATGCTGAACAAAGCGAGGCGAGAGCCAAATAAATGTTATCGTCTGTGTACTTTCCTATAATTAAAACTAGTTTTGTGTGTTAAGTGCGGTGCTCCTTTCTATTCATATATTTTTACTAAAATAAAATTTTAAAATATCAGTAATTGGCAAGTATCTCGTTATTGTCTTACCATCTGTTATATCTAATTATTAGCTGAAATGGGCGGCAAAGTCACCCGCATGTGCAATTACTAGTTCGGGTAATAATATATCCGGAAGTAATCTCTTGACTCTCGTTAATATCAACTTTTTATTAATAAAATTGAGTTCAGGCTATATCAATTTTCATGAATATTAACCCATTGGAAATAGATAATTATGCTGATATCTATAAGGGTTGATAATAAAAAGATAATAATTGATATTTTTTACTAAGTTTAGATTGATAGTGATTGATATTAACGAGATTGTTATTAATGAGGGTTGACTGCAATTATCTCTTTGTTATCAACCCTCGTAGATATCAACATAATTGGCTAGTTCAAATGGGTTGGGTTGATCTTAATGATGGTCAAGTATATATAAAATGATTCTGTGGTGCCGCTAAGGCGACAAGGGGTAGAATATTCCAGGAATAATATACCGCATACTAAATAACTCCATGCACTAGCTTACAAAACAACATTTTAAAAATATGTTTTTTAATATTTTTAAAGGCATTATCAGTTTATATGAAGATTGACCTAAATTTTAGCAGCTTGAATTTATTTTTAACCTTTGATCAAGATTGTTTCAAAAAACATAATAAGGTATACATATTAAATATAACAAATTATTATGATAAAATAAGTAATAATAAATAGAAAATAGAATGTAATAAATATATCGAGATAAAGAAAATTGAAATATTATCTGACACAAGATACAATAACAACCTTCATATGAACATGAAAATTATTACAATATTTATTGACAAACACTCTTGTCAAAACTTGCACCGCAAAACTTTGAATCACCAACGTCTATGTCAAAAATAAGCAATAAATAAATAAATAAATAAAATAAAATAAGCTTAATTAAAGCTAGCTCTTACATTGTTTACATGTGCCTTGAGTCCATCCACCAAAAGGTCTGTAATTATTTAATCTAGGGTCGTTATCATAAATAGAATACCATAATGGGAGACTAGAATCTAAAACCCAATCTCTATTTCCAGTAATTGTTTCCCATTGATATTGACTCTGAATTTGCAAATTATTTCTTGTTAATTCTTATTATAAAGAAATAATCATTGTAAAAAAAAAAAATTGCATACCGAATATATACCGAATTTCCAGCCAGTAGATTTCCAAGCAGCATAGAATTCTTTTAATATCTCTTTATTTTTAGCCGGACCCAAATTCCAATTACCAGAATTCTTATCTACTTCAACATCTAACCAAGCTGTTCGAACTATAATTTTATTTTTATTAATCAAATTAACCAATTCATTGACCTGTTGTTGAGGAGTTTTACAAGTCGACCTTCCAGTGCATGGAAACATATATACATCAATATCGGTATACCCAGCTTGTTTAGCATTTTCATAATTTTTTAGGAAATTAGAATCAATTGCACCACCAGGATTATTGCCATAGGCTTCAAAATAACCACGAATCATCGCATGACTATAGCCTAAATTTTTGGCACATTTAAAGCTATTTACTGTTGTCAAAGAAGAAACATCTACTGCAGTAGCAGCAAATGCTCTACTTATCATTGAAATGATCATGATAAAGGTGGACAACACAATGGATAAAAGTTTCATTTTTATTATTTGTTAATGTTTTAAGAAAAGTATGGATGATTTAAGAAAAATACGGAGATATTTATGTATTGGTAGGTGGACCATACAGTATTTATAGTTTAACATCGGTTTCAAAACTCTGCTGTAAAACATTAAAATATAGATTAAATACAAACGATATTTTACTTTGTTTGCCCTTTTAACGTGAAGGAAATAAAAAGGAAATACATGAAAGAAGCGTATACTCTACACGAACTTTTTGTATTATGTTTATTATCAATACAGTATTTTATTAATCCGGATAATTTTTTTTCATACGTAATAAAATTTTCCAAAAACAGGTTAGTATGTATGTACACATGCACTTACAAATTATTGAAAAAGGTAATGAATAACGATGAAATGATTAATCAAATTAAAAGTAATTAAAGATATTACTTTTATTAGAAAAATGTATAAAATCTACTCAATTCTGAATGCTTTTTTCTTTATTATTTAAATTTTTTTTCCCATACGGTGCAGACCATAATGCCTAGTGTGATGGGTTATTAATGATTAATAATATTCTTACGTAATGATCGATCGTCACGTCATTAACTAGTGATAATATAATAGTTTCGTCACGTGCCATATCCCAAATTGTTTTGTAACTATGTCGTAATTATGTCATAATTTTGGCACATCGCATATCTCAAATTTGCAAAAACTAGTTGGCCGTAACGAAGTCCAAAATTACCATATATATACTTTTCTAAATTAATGTCAATATATTAGTGCGCAAGAAGATATATATATGTGATGTATTCGATATATCGCCGAATTAAATGCAATGCTTTCAAAACGCAACCTCTAACTTCACCCGTATATATAAGGGCTGTTAAAAAGCTTGCCGAATTCGGTCCTTTAGTCGACTTCACATGAGCATATTAGGACCGACTCAAGATTGTACCAAATGCACTTTGTTTGATCCAATTTGTGATCAGGAAACATTCGATTATTAGACTCAAGGATCGACTTCTAATCAAAGTCCCTATTTACGGAGTCTGGACCGAAAGGATCGGACTTTTAACAGCCTTAGATATACACAATGCAATGCATTAATTGCATTAATTGTTAATGTTTTTTTTTTTTGGTTCCTACTTTTTATTACTGGTTAAATATCCGGATACGTGAATACTTATTTAAAAGTTGTAATTCTAACAAATTTCATTGTAAAAATTTGGTGTTAGAATGAAGCATGTTAGAAATGTTTATCAAATTATTATGCAATTAGAATATTATTTTTCATTGATTCAACTATACATAAGTAATGCCAAAGGAAAACTAGACATC